AAAAAAAAGAAAAAAGGATTAAAAACCAAGGAAACTTCTATACTCATAATCTCAACTTTCTTTAAATGTTTCTATTAAAATACTTTTTGGCATTTTTTTCCGTTTCAGCTAAATTACTTTGCAATTAAATGATGAAAGGGACAATCTCTCTCTCTCTCTTTCAAGGAAAGGATTTGATTTTTTTTCGTTACTAATTCCAAAATGATGATAATGATATTATCACATTTAAAACAAAGATAATCAAACAATTCAAATGAAAATGAATTTAATGGAAAATAAAAAAAGGGGACTTTACATTTGCAAACACAAATAAAAAATACATTTTATCGAATCAAATGAACCGTTCGCGTTCGAATGATGACTGTCGCCCTATCCACAACAAAAAAAAAATCCATTACAACAACCGAATGAATATCAAACTTAATAATAATAAAAAAAATGTGGCCGAATAAAAAAAGACCCAATAAAAACTTGGAAAAACCAATGTTTGGATCTACGAAAAACACAAAAAAACTAAGTGATAAAAATATGGATATCTCACATTTTGGAAATCAAATCAATTATTCCTATCACGTCATTTTGGATATATGGGAAAAAAATATATGAAAAAAACTTTGATTGTCAAACCAAAAGAGAGATAGATTAATGTAATGAATTCCTGAAAAGCAATAAAATTGATCAAAATCTCTCAGTTGAAAAAAACAATAAAATAATGTTGATTATCATCATCATTAAATGATTTTCAAATGAAACAGAAAAACATAAAAACATAAACTTCTTTTTTTTCTATTTATAATTATTTTATCATTCATTCTTGATAATTGATAATTAATAATTGAGAATATAATTGATTATTACTACTTTGTTTGAAATCGATTGGTTATGGTTGATTGATTGATCGATTGATCAGTTGATTTGAAGAAAATATCGATTGAAACCAAACCAAACAGAAAAAAAAAGACAAACAACAACAAAAAGAGTTATCAAATTTCTCTCTTCTCTCTTTCATTTCATTTCATTTTGGAGTTTTGGGTTTCTTTTTTCGTTACTTTTCCTTTCTCGTTTATGTCAAGAATATATTTTATTTTCTGGATCAACATTCGCCTACAAACAAAAAAAAAACATCAGAATTTCTGTTGCTTTTCCATGTTGTTGTAGTTGGTCATTCTGGTGACTGATCGGTTTTTTTTTCTCTCTCACTCTCTCTCTCTCTCTCTATCTTTCTCGCTCATGATGAATAATTTAATTGAAGATGAAGTGTATGAATGAAGGATAGTTGAATGTTTTGGAAAACCGGGGAAAAAATGATGCCGAGAAAAAAACAACAAGATCTGTTTTAATTTAGTTTTATTTTTCTGACCAGACCGATTTTGGGTTAATATAGTAAATGCTTTGAAAAAAAAATTTTCAGAATTACAGAATTGAAAACACACAATTTTCATTCGTTCATTTCATTCATTTTGTTTGCATTATTCACATCAATTGAAAAGTAAATTAAGAAAAAAGAATAAATTTTACTTGTGAAAAAAGACTTGAAATTGAAAGAAACAGAAAAATACAATGTTGTAAATGTAACCGAATGAGAATGAAATTGTTAATTGAAAATGAAATTAGTGTAAAGTAAGAATGAGAGATGCAATGCGATACTGGAAATTGATGAAAATAAGGAAAGAAAACAAAAATTTCATTATCGCTTTTTTTCCCAAAGAGATTCTATATATAAAGAGAATCTTATCAGTCAGTAGGTTTCAATTGGTTGGAATTTGTTTTTTGTTTTGTTTTTGTTTTTGTTTCTAATTTTCAATCGATTCCGAACCAGGTTAATAAGACAAAAAAAAAGTTTTTCCTTTTCGTCTGCCTACCTTTTTATTTGATCAGGTTTTCATTGATAAAAGCTGTAATTATTACCTAAAGATAACCAAATTCAATTTGAATTTTCCTTTCATTCATTTCTTTTTCTAGCAAAAGAATAGGAAAAATTGAAACAAAAACAATTTCTTTATCACAGAGAATTGTTTTATTTGTATAAAAAATTATTATTATTACTTTTTTTTAAAATAAAAACTATCAAAGAGAATATCAGAATCACTAACAATAGTAATCATCAGGTAAAAAAATTCAACAAAAATCAAAAAATCAATTTTCATATTGGAAAAACAAGAAGAATACAACAAAAAAAAAATCCCTGTATAATCAATATTATGGATTTTTTTTTCTCCTTGTGAAATCAATATTTTTTTCTTCATCTTTTAAAAAGTCTCAACAAATAACATACAAACACACCGACAGTGAGTGAGAGAATCTGTGTTAAGTTTTTTGTTAAAAATTGAAGAAAGATGGCTGATTTAAAGGGAAAATTGTTGTTGTTGTTTTTGTTATATTATTATTATTATTATTATTAGCATTATCATCATTAATATTTTGGATTTTTTCAATGGAAAAAAATCTTTCAAAATGAAGAAAATGTGAAAAAAATAGACCAAAATGATAAATGTAAAGAAAATGAAAATGAAAAGGACACCTATAGTCGTAATATAACAGGGGTAAAGGGATTACCAGAAATTTTTTTTATTGTTTTTTTGGTTTAAAAATAAAAATAAAAATAACAACAACAAATTACTTTTTCATTTTTTTTCATACTGATTACGTAATCAACAAAACTGTTATCATTTTGAAATGGGTTTTTTCTTGGTAGAAAGGACAATTTCATACAAGCAAATATTTAACCCTTTGGCATTGTTTTTATTGTATTTTTTTATTCGTTTCTCTCTCTCTCTTATCTAGTCTTATTTACATGTGAATATTCTATATGCTGATGACAATGATGATTTAAATAACCGTAGGCCTTTTGCTATGGTAACTAGAAATTATTTATGAAAACAAATTTATATACCAAAATTGGGAAAAAAACTTGAAAGGAAATGTTTATAATTATTTCATTGTTTTCAATAATTACAATTACAATTACAATGGAAATTTTTTGCTTTTCAAAGATAAAACTTACTTACAAGAAACTAATTTGTAACCACAATCGATATCTTGAATTACTTCCACGATAATAATAATCGATTGTTTTCGTACCCTTTACTTGGAATAAATTCTAATGAATTTTATTTGTGAATGTTGTTCATCACTTGAAATTCATCAACAACAAAACAAAAACTAATGAAATGTTGTTGTCAATAATGATGATCAGAAATAAATAAGAAAATGGTGGCAAAATGACAAGCGGTAATAATTGATATAAACAACAGAATTGAAGTAAATAAAACTTCAAAAAAATGGAAATAATTTCCAAAGTGAACAAACAAAAACAAAACAAAACAAAAAAACCACAAGTGAAAAATAAAATAATAATGATGGTTGGTTTCATTCCATTTTCATTTACAAAATGATAAACTCATAATTCTTCACAAAAATGAATATATAAAATGAGAAAAAACAAAAAAGTTTGGCCATTTTCCAGATGAAAGAATTATTAATATTCTTTCACTTTTATTCATTCATTCACTATTCATCATAATCTAAATATATCAACCAAAAAAAACAAAAACAAAAAAAAGTTTGAAAGATAATAATAATATCATCCACTAAAAAAAAGATGTTTGTCGTTTGTTTTTGTTGTAAATGAAGAAATTTTGTTTTTTTGCATATGATGATTATGATGATATTTGATGGTTAGTTTCAAATAACCGAAAAAAAGCTATACACACGCACTTTAATTTGTTTGCTGTACCCGATGATAATACGATGATTATGGTGTTTTTTGTTTCGAAATAATTTGAATTCCGTTTTTGTTTTTGTTCGCTACCAACGAAGAAAAACAAAAACATTACAAAACAAGAGAGGTAATAAGAGTTGCGATAAAACTCATTGAAAAAAGCTCTTGGTAATGAATGAATGATGATGATGATGATGGCGGTGGTTTCATTATAGAAAAATTTTTAGATTAAAAAAAACAAAATTTCGTAGAATCACATAACGAAAATGACGAAATAATTTAAATTACACTAAAGCAAAATTGGTTCATTTTCTTTGGAATTTTTTTTCTTCAAATGTTGATTCCGAAACCGATAAAGAAAAATGTCATTTTCAAACTTCAACTTTCTTGTTATTGTCGGTCGTATAAGCATTTCGACAATTTTGTTGACTACCAATGATCCCTATTTGGATCATGGTTTTTATATATCCGACAGTCAGTCGGTCGGTGTATTGTTTGGTACCTTGTTTTTTTTGGTTGGTCGTCGGTTATATAATAAGTACCAAATAATATTGAATGTTGCATTAGTCGATTCATGATGCGTAGATTCGATTCTAACGTTAAACCATATTATTCGAGCAAGCGCCGATTCATCATCATCTGGTTCCAAAAAAATGATGATAATAATGATTTTTTTTCTTGGTTCATGTCATGAATCAATTCATAATCATTTTTGTCTATTTTTATATTTAAAAAATAATTAGGAAAAACAAAACAAAACATATCGACAAAATACCTTGTTGTTGCATTCGTTGTTCAAATTTTACGAAATGAAACATGATATACATTGAAGAAATTTGAAACATTGAAATTTTGAAATGTTTTTCTTCTTTTTCTTGCTTCTTCGATCTTTTTTTTCAATCAAAATCGATAAAGTGATAATGAAAATAAATTTCTCAATTTTCTTTTTCATTTTTCATTTTCGAATGTTTTCATTTTCAGTGTTCGAAATTCCGGTTGACAGTACGCCATCTATCGATGATGATTATTATAAAAATTGTCACGATATAATCTGTTGATCTTTGGACCATTTTTCTGATTGTCTAATGATGATAAAAAATTGATTTTAAGAAAAAAATTAGATTAATTAATTAATTAATTGATTTATCAATGGAAAAGAAAACTGGATCGATCATGTTCCTAGTTCATCTTTCTCCCCATTGATCAAAAATCTTTTAATCTTTTAATCTCAAGTACCTTTTGTAGAAATTGGGGACATTTGTGAAAAAAATAATCCTTGATTAAGTATTTAAGTAGAGTTTTTGAAAACCATTATCATCATTGAATTTTTCTTTTTTTCTTTTTTGATTTGATTCGAAAACCAGAAAAAAATGATGAAATTAACATTGACCGTTTTGTTGTTGTCGATGATTCTTGGTACATCATTGGCCGTCAAGGTAAAAATAGTTTCGAATGTTTTTCCTTTTTCTTAACGTTCGATTTTTCAATTTTCATTTTGAATTTTTTTTTTTTGAATTTTCAAACAGAAAGTAAATGTTCACCTGTTTTATGAAACAATTTGTCCGGGTTGTCAACAAGAATTTCAACGAAGTGTTGTACCGGCACATAAAAATATTGGACAATATTTGAATTTTGATCTTGTACCATGGGGTAATGCAAGAATATTTAAAAATGATTATGTTTTCGGTATTATTTGTCAACATGGTGAACAAGAATGTTGGGGTAATCAATTTCATGCATGTGTTATTAATAAATTAAGTTATGAAGAAGCATTCAATTTTGTTGATTGTTTTTTCCGTACACATGAAAATCTTAAAGATGTTAAAGGCAAATGTCAATCGGTAAGTTTTCTTTTCAAAGAGTAGATCGATGAATCTTATCATCATTTTAACATTGATTATTATCATTATTATTTTACAGTGTTCAAAAGAATTGAATATTGATTTTGATAAAATGAAACAATGTGCCGAAAGTGATGAAGGACAAAATTATGTATTGGGTATGAATAATCGTACAATTGCTATTGCAAAAGGAAAAACTGGTGTACCATGGACAGTGATTGAAGGTGTTGCAACCGGTGATGATATTACTGAATATGCTTGTAAAGAATTTTTAAAAGCACAAGGTGTTGAATATTGTCAAAAATATTAAATTTTTTTTTTAAAAAAAAACTTACAAAAAATTTTACAAAATAAAATAAATTTGAAACAAAAACAAAAACAAAAACCAAAAAACTCCTTTTACAGGAAACACAAAAAAAAACCAAAAAAAAAAATGAAACAAAAGAAAAAATCATTCGAATCTATTTTGATCATCATCATACCGGTATTGTTAAAATAGTTTCGAATAAAATGCGTGTGTGAGGTGACTTGATGTTTGTGCTGTTTGTTTGATAATCGAAAACGAAGAAGAGCCACAACCACCACCACAACTCAATTTGGAAAAGACAAAAAAAATATTTCCATTATTTAAGGTGTTTTTCCAAAAATCAAAATCAAAATAAACTCAATCAAACATCTCACGCCAAACACGTGTGTTATTTTTTCCTGTTTTTGTTTTTGATTTGAATGAATTTTTTGTTTTCTTAGTTTCGTCTCTTTCGTTTTTTGGATTCAATATAAAATACCAAAATTGTTCAGGTAAATTATCAATGTAATCGAAAAAATATGTCAACAACAACATCATCGACAACAACAACAACTTTATCATCCACATCATCATCTGTAACTGATCAATTTCAAACAGCAACAGCACAAGCAGCAGCAACATTAATGCCATCATCATCAACGGCAACAACAACAAAAAAAATGTCCAATTTTTTTCATTGTAATTCAGGTAATAATAATATGAATATAACAACAACAACAACAACTGGATCGACAACAACAACAACAACAGGATCATCAATAACAACAACAACAACAACAAATATTCGTACAAATAATGTTAAATTACGTTTGAAAGAAAAAACTAAAAAAAAATTGGAAGAAAAATCTGGAACGACAGCAGCAACATCGAATGGATCGAATGCATCAGCAGCAGCAGCTGCTGCTGCTGCTTGTTTATCCGGTATTGTACAGGAAACGATAACAACAACAACATTTTCAAAAATTCATGATCAAATGGCTGCAATGGCAACATCCGATCCAGCATTAACAATGGAATTACTTGGTGCATCATTAAATATGAATCCATCGGTTGTAACGGATCAATTTCATCATAATCATCATCATCATCAACATCATCATCATTTTCATCATCAACAACACCATCAATCATCATCAACAAAAACAGGTAGTTGTGGTACATCACCATCACGTAATAATTCATCATCAACAACAGCAACAACAAATTTAAATAAATCACAACAACAACAACAACAACGACAACCATTAACAATGAAATTGAAAAAATTATGTAATCCATCAGCAACAAATATTATTACATCAAATCATCAAAATCGACGACAAGAAGATTGTTGTACAAAAAAAGATGATTGTCATTGTCAGGCATGTATACAACGGCAGAAAATTGCCGAAGAATTAATTGCTGAAGAAGAAAGTTCCAAGAAGAAAAAACAGAAAAAGAAAAAGAATAAAAGTAGTAAACAGAAAAAAGATAATGATAAAAAAGATGATGATAATGACGGTGGTGATGGCGATGATGGTGAACAGGAAAAAGTTGCCACAAAAGATGATCAAAAGAATGAGTTACGAATTCAGGAAAATTTAAAATCTGATCAAAAACAGAATGTCATCAATGAATCACCGATGGATGTTAAAATCATTACCGAACAGCAATCAAATAAACCACAACAACAACAATCAGCAACGAAACAAACGAAAAAAAATAAGAAAAATAAATCGAATGTTGAAAAATTGAATGTTGGTGAAGCGAAATCTTCAGCAACAGCTAAAACGACGGCGACGACAACAACGGCTGCTCCGAAAGAAGAAAAGAAAAAATCCACTTTATCGAATAATAATTCGAATTCATCGAATATTTTAAATGATTCGAATGGTGATCCAATCGCAGTCGATATACAACAATGGATTAAAGTAAAAAATAAGAGTAAACAACAACCATCATCATCACTGAATTCTGGTATAATAAATATCAATAATAATACTGATTGGATTGTTGATGATGATATAACAACAACTACTACAACAACAACAATGTCTGATTCGATTGATAATAATTTAAATAATGATGATATTGATGATTCATTGATGGATCATCAACAACAACAAAATAATGGTTTTAAAATAATACATAGTGATAAATCACGTAAATCGTATTCGAATGATAATAGTGATTTATCATTATCATCAACAACGACCACGCAAACATTGAATATCAATGATGGTGGTAATGTAAGCGGTGGTTTAGGTCTTGGTTCACGTACAATTATCGGTCTGAATTCGGCTGTTGCAGCTTCGAAAGGTAACTAGATTTGATTTGATTGATGGATTAATTGATTTGATTTGATTTTTTTGATTTTGATTTAGCAAAATTATTGGCAATCGAAGCACAAATTGCACATAGTAATAATGAATTAAAAGGTGCCGTACAATATATTAGTGAAGCATTAGAAATTGATTCAAAAAATCCAATTTATTATATTAATCGTGCCTATTATCATGAACGGTAAGTGTTTTTTGGTTGTTTTGGTTTGTTCATTTTGATTGATTTTCATCATTTTCCATCAAATATATAGTTTAAATGAATTTGAACATGCATTACGTGATACTGAATCAGCAATACGTTTTGATGAATGTCGTGATCATTTTGATCATGCTATTTGTTTGAAAGCACGTTGTTTAATCGGTTTGGAACAATATGAACAAGCAGAACAATTATTATTTCGTTTAAAATCATTATCACAAAAATTTATACCATTCCTACATAAAGATCTGTTATTATTACGTATGAAAAAATTAATATCTTGTGGTTATACAATACCATTATCAAGAATTTATGCAACACGTTTTAATACAATCGCTGATTCATTAGCTATGATTGAACAAAATTGTCAAATTTTATTGGATAAAAAATTAAATGAATCGGATCCAAAATTACATTTATGGCTTATTAATCATCAACAACAACAACAACAGCAGCAGCAGCAACAGAATTCATCATCATCAACAACAGCAACAGATTTATCATCCGATTTTCTAAACGAAACAAAATTACCAAAAATAATGCAATATTGGTCACAAGAATCACAACGTTTTTATCAAATTAATCATAATGATTATGATGATGATGAAATATATTTTAGTGATGAAGATGAACGTGAACAATGGTATGGTCATCCGGATCAATGGGATCGTTCAAAAGATATTCTTAATAAATCACCTGTACAATTTGAAGATGCAAAAGAGTATGTTTTGTTTTTTTCATTGAAAATGATGAATTTCATTTTAACATTTTTTTATCTGTTTGTTTGCCTCATATAGACCACCAAATTCAAAAGGACAAAAAGCATTATGGATTGGTAATGTATCACCAAGTTGTTCGCTAACATTTGTTACAAATTTATTCATGAAATTTGGTAATGTTACTTTTTGTAAAATATTTCCAAATGAACAACGATCACCTGATGTTGCATATCTATTATTACATTATGATAATGATATATCTCCACGTTTAGTCATGTCTTATTTTAAGGTAAGATTTTGGTATTTTTTTCTATTCAAATTTAACACAATTTCTATCCAAAAAAAAAGGATAAAATTGTACCCGGAATATCTAAAGATGATAATTGTCCATTATTGATACGTTTTCGTAATAAAAATGATAAAATTGATGATCAAACATCGAATGATTTAACAAATTTATCATCATTATCAACAACAACAACAGGAACAATATCATCATTAGCTAATGGTTCAAATATTATTTCATCATCAACAACAAGTGGATCAAATTCACCATCATCAAAAACAGTATCCGAATGTTATTATTTTCGTACAACTGGTTGTGATCGTCAACATTGTACATTTCGTCATGTCATAGGTAATAAAGGTATCGATAGACAAACATGGATGAGAAAGAAAAATTAACACCGGTCAATCTCTCTCGCTCTTTTTTTTGAATATTCTTCATATGAATTTTATAATATAATTAATCTTTGTATATCAGAATAAAAAGGAAAATTCTTTCAATTTTGAAAAATTTTGTAACGTTGTTTATGAATTATTTGATATTTTTATTCGGCGCGTTTAGCACAATCAAAACACACATAGAAAAAAATTTGGTAGTGGTTCACATCAATGTAAAGATGAAAAAAATTTTTGTTTTTGTTTGTGTTTGTGTGGGCGTTATTTGTTTGTTTTTCTGGTTCTACGCGTTCGAATTGACCAAAAAAAAAAAAAATCAACATTATTGAATACCACTACCATTTTTTTTTTGGTTAAAAAACTCATGTTTTGTGAATACGCGTATATAGATGTGTGGGGTTGACATTGTCGAGAATTCTTTATTTCTTTTCGCTTCTTCTTTTACTCCTCCTCATCAGTTTACCAACAATTACCACCATTATTTATCATCAACAACAACAACAACATCATCCGTTTTTTTTGGATCACATTTTTTTGCGCTTTTTTTTACCTGTTTTCATCAATGATTTTATCTTGAATTTCATTAACCTGTTTGTTTTTGTTTGTGCTGCAGGTGTTTTGCTGCTGCTGCTGCTGTTGTTGTTGTTGAAATAATGATATTTTGTTGAAATCAATCAAATTCTTCGTTGTTTGAAAATAATTTATCATTGTTGTTTTGTTCAAATTGAATCTTTATCAAAAGATGGCTTCTTCATCATCATCATCGACAAATCATGTTGGATCTTCAGCATCCACACCAGCATCATCAACGACAATACCATCATCATCATCATCATCGGGTAATCGTTTAATGCCTTCATTATCGAATCCAGGTGATATAGCTGTTTGGTTACATAATAAATTATCATCCGATGATATTTGGTCGGGTATGTTCTGTGAAAATTATTTTTTACCTGGAAAATTCAATTTTTTTTTTCAATCCAAAAACGTAGATAAAAGTAGTATCATTACACAATTGAATTCGGATATGTTAACATCGATAAAATCCTGTTTTACTGAATTACAATTAAATGTTAAGCTGAAATTATTGTTATCATTTTTACATTTACCAAAACGAAATCTAGATGATGTATGAATTTTGAAATTTGATGTTTGATTCTGAATAATGATGATAATTTTTGTTTGTTTTTCTAGTGGAAAAATGAATTAGAAGAATTAATTCGTTTAGCAATCGATGATTCTGATCCATGGGTTTCAGTTGTTGCTGAATTATTGGAAAATTATCCACGTCATGGTTCGATTGATCTTGATCCAACATCATCATCATTTTCGGAATTAAGTACTGAATTGAAAAAACTTGGTATGTGTAAAACCGAATTGATTATTTCCATTTCGACTAATGTTTTTCGTTTTTCCAGTGAAAAAACAAGATCAAAAAATTCTTCCATTAGAAAGTTTATTTCTAAATCGTTGTGCATTTCATAGCCAATTTGGACAGCCAGCACAACCTGTTAAACATTTTCAATTAAAACGTAAAGCCAAATCCGCTACATTACGTGCCGAATTATTACAAAAAGGTTTGTAATAATTCATTTTTGAATTATCATTTTAATCAATTTTTTTTTTTTGATTAGCAACTGATCTATCAAGTGGTAGAAGGCCATCTACCGGTCCAACTGTACCGATTAGATGTCGTGGATTAAATTCAAATGATACAAGTATGTGAAAATATTCTGTTTAACTGATTTTAACCCTGAATTTTTATGATATTATCTATATAGCTCCATATAAAGGAATACCTAGTCGAAATAGTTTTGGTTCATATTCATCATCATCATTTAAATCTGGTTTAAGTCGTTTATCATCATCATCAGGTGGTATTAGTAATAGCAGTAGTAGTCGTTCAGCAAGATTAGCTGCATCAAATATTGGCAGTTCCGGTATAAAACGTGATGGTGGTATTGTTTTATTGGATATGTATGAAGCACCATCAGCACCAATTAATCAACGTGATTTAAAACGTCAACGTAAAGATAAAGAAAAAGAAAAACAACAGGAAAAATCGGATAAACAACAACCACAACAAACATCATCATCATCGACTATACCATCAACAACAACTTCATCGAATATTTCGAGTTCCCAATCAAAAACAAGATTAATGTCATCATCATCAGATGATGATCATTTGGATCATCGACAATCATTGAAATCACAAAAATCTGAAGATTCTAACATAAAAACGACTGCTTCATCGACAACAACGAAATCATCATTACTTAATCGAAATAATTCAATAGATAATGAATCAACAAGTGTAATCAAAACACCAATAATGATGCAGAAAAATTTATCCAAATTTTCGAATACCAAAAATGATGATAATAATATCATTCAATCGCAACAATCATTACAAACGCAACCATCTTCAATAATCAATACAAGTAATCAATCATTATCGAATCAACAACAACGACAAATATTGGCATCAAAATCAACACCAGATTATGCTGCTGGTTTAACACCTGTACCATCATCATCATCATCATCATCGGTTATAACTACTTCAACAACGAATCAAAAACTGGATGATTCACGTATAAATCAACAACAGCAACAACAATCATCTTTGATTGATTCAACACCTGTACAACAATCTCAACCACAACAACAATCATCATCATTATATCATGAACAGCAGCAACAACAACAATCTTCGCCTTTGAAAACTACACAATCTTTATATCAACAGAATCAAAATCAATTCAATAATCAACAACAACAACAGCAAATTCGAATGCCAATCGGATCTTCAAATTTTACCATGTTAAATCAATCATTGATGGCACAAAGATCAACACAATCTCAACAACAACAACAACAACAGCAATCAGAAATGAGAGTTCCATTACAGCAACAAATGCTTGCCTATCAACAACAACAACAACAGCAGCAACAACAGAATCGAAATAATAATTTTCAAACAAGTAATATTCAACAATTACAACAAAATTCATCACAACAATTTACACAACAACAACAACAACAGATACAGTCTATACATAGGCCTTTTGGTCAACAACCGCAACAACAACAAAATCGTCCTCAATTACAACAGCAAACATTCTCAACACCATTTGGAATGTATGCTGGAACAACATCTACGCAACAACAACAACCATCACCACAGCAGCAGCAACAACAGCAGCCAAATTTACCTTTACAAGGATTATCAGCATCAGCTGGACAGCTAATGCGAGAAATAATGACAAAATTTCCACGTTTAAATCCTCAAATACATAAAACTATTTATGATTTTCTTAATGGTTTACCAAATCCATCACCAGAATCAGGACCACAACGACAATTTCGGCTTGGTGAAACAATTGAATTACGAAAACGTTCACCAGATCAACCAGAAACAAGACATATCGTTGAAACACAACTTCTTATTGATTATGATAAAAAAACATGTAAAAAATTGGAAAATATTAAACAATTACCTGATTTTCAAGCAATTCGAACAGTTGGAATTGTTGGTAATTCATCAAATCCACAACAACCACAACATTTGAATGTGCAATCATCAGGCCAAGGTGGTATTGGTGGTATGCCTATACGAATGGCAACATTTCAAACTGTTGGTCCAAGAGGAATGATTGGCACTGTTGGTCAACGAATGATGACAACAACTAATCGTGCTGGTGTTCCAGTCACATTCATGGCTATAAATCCATCATTTTTACAGCAATCACAACAACATCAACACCAGCAACAATTACAACAACAACAACAAGGACAACAACAAAATCAACAAGGACCACCAGGATCAACAACTGGAAATCAATCATCGACAATGCAACAATATTCACATCTACAGCAAAGAGTATAATCTCATAATTCTCATTTAACACACATCAAAAAATGCCTAAACATGTGAACTGAATCCATTTTTGACAATATTTTCATTTTATAGATTTGTATGTTATTAGAGATGACCAAAGGCTCATCACACATATAAGTGTGATGCATTTGTTTGTAAAAATTGGCCTTTTTTTGTAATATTTTATTTTCATCGACCTCTTTTGTTTTGTTTTTTCGACGGAAACAAACAATTGTTATAAAAGCCAATTCGGTAATTCATTTTTTATAAGATTATTATAATAAATTTTTTTTTTCATTAAAATGAACAAAAATTTTGATGAATATTTTTTTTTCGTTTTTAAAGACACATTAATAATAAAAAACAATTTATGACACAAATGAGCTATTTTTTAAATCCATTATTTGGAATCGATAAAAATCGTTATAATCCAATCTATTTGATTAGAAAAAAACAAATTATAATGATGAAATTTTCATAAAGAATTTTTTTTGTTTACAAACCTTGCAACAAATGGAAACATCATATGATATTCACAATTATCTGAATAAATCTTTTTCAATAGTTGACTAACTAATGAATCAAATTCAGTGTTTGCTTTATCAATGATTTCTTTGATTGTGTAAGATCCACTAGCTTGTCCTAATCCTTTGTTTTGATGATTTGATAAACCGCCAAATATTCGATTGGAAAAATAAATTCGATTCAATTTTTCCTGTATTAAATCTTCATCTTCAGAATTGGCAGCTGAATCAAATTCTTTTGCAAGATTTTTACTAATTCCTGTTGTTTGTTTTGGATATGATGATTGACTACTTGAAGATTGTTGACCAAAAAAACAACTACTTTCCATCATTGTTGATTGATCTTCAGCATCGATTGAATCCTAACGAGAGAAAAATAAGCAAATCATTTCATTAGAATTTCAAAATTGATTGAAAATCAACACTTACTTTTAATAAATGAGATAATTCAATACAAAGTGTAAAGATTTTAATAATAATGGTTGTAATTTCTAATGATGTTAAAAAACAACTACTAAAACAATGTTCAAGAAATTTTTCATGACATTCAATTACTGAATCAAGACTTGAACCACGTTTAGTAATCTGACTGATGAATTGTGAAAATGATGGATCGATTACTTCGAATGCATAAAAATAATGAAAATTTCGTACAAAAGCAATCATTTTATAACGTAATGCAAATGCTTTTTTATGTATCGATTTAAATGATTTGGCCAATAATCGTGCTTGTTTTGTTTGATCTTGTTGTTGTTGATCCGTACCATTATTGGTCAATTGATTCAATAAACTTAACGTATCACAACGTTTCAATTGTACATTAAGTATATTATCTTTCCATGTTTCTTCCAATTCCATTTCAGCATAACGACATAGAAATATATAACGAAAAAGTAATTCATAACAAACAACAGATTTCTGTGTAAAAATCAATGATAATGGGAATGGTACATCAAATTTGAGCATTAATGATTCGTAACAAAATAATTTTGATGATTCACATGGATGATTTGTTTCCAACATTGTTATTGGTTTTTTCTTCAATGTTGAACCACCACCACCACCACCAATAGATTTATTATCCAATGATTTGGATTTAGGTGAATTTGTATTTTTATTATTCAAATATTTTGGTGGTCGACGAATAATCGAATCGATTGAATCAGCGGTAGCATTAAAATCTTGATCTTCAATCACTGAACTTATAATCGAACGATTTAATGCTACATCATTATCATCATCATCATCGGCATCTTCATCACAACGAAGTAAATATGATGATGATGGTGATGGATCATTTACAAATGATGTACTAAAAGAATTATCTTCTTGAGTGGCGAATGGTTTCATTATTTGATAGATTTGTTTTAGAAAAGATTTTCCCACAAATTCAACATGTGGATCATCTTTTAGATATTGTCGATCAGAATGACAAACCGATATACCTAATGCCATACCCATCATTGAATCTAAACGATGTTGAACAACAGAATCAGTACGTTTACAAAGATCTTTTGATGCAAATTTCATAAAATGTACGATAAAATCACCCATCGATAAAAGCATATAATGTCGTACAGCATTAAATGTTTCAACTAATTGTGATTCATGAACAAGGATATGTAATAATTGTGAACTGGCTTCTTCATAAGCCGATTGTATCGGTGTTAAATAAGTAGATTCATCAAATGAATAATAAATTTCTTCAGGTTTTGGTGTAAAAATGGCTGCCATTGTATTTGCAGGTTGTATGGGTGTATTAACACGACCACCACCACCACCACCACTACTTGATGCATTCGATGATGATGATGAAGCCATTGAATAAGCAAATGATGTATTATCGGCCATCATTGGATTTGTCGAAGGATGATTATTATGACCATAATAATTATGATTATTTACATTCGGATTATTCATAAACATAAATGGACTATTCGTATTTGTTCCATATTGTTTTGGCACAAAAGATGATACTGAATCACTTTGTAGAATACTACTGCCTACAGTTGTTGTCGCACCTTGATTATGCAATTGTTGTTGTAACTGTTGTTGTTGTTGTTGTTGTTGGAATATCGATTGAGGTATCGGAATGACTTTAGAAGATTTCAGGAACAATTGTTTTACTTTATTAATTATCGATACATATTTACCAGTTTTATAAATAACTTGTTCATATTTACGAAGAAAACATGGTGTTTTTGATGAATTTATTCGATAACGTACATCCCAGTATTTACTAAGAGAAACGTAGAAAACAAATTATAATGTACAAAAAGCAACCCGATTTACTTACTCATTAAATTTACCAAAATCATCATCATATTCATCATCAGATTCAACAAGATCTTGATCATTTTGTTGATGTGATTGATTTTGTGATTGAATATTATTATTACTACTATTAATATTATCCGTTGTCAATCGTTCACCATTTGGATTATTATTATTGTTATAATAATTACCAATTACACCAATACTTTGTTGGCTATGTGTATCTTCAATAAAAAATTCTTTACGTGGATCACCAATTTCACCATAATAAATCCATGTTTTCATTATATCAAAATAAGGTATGGCTGCCGATTTGGTTAATGTTAAACAAAGTTCCAGTGCATTATTATCCATTCCTTGTATGGATTTAGTTTTTTCATGTAACAATGTTAATACCGAACCACCGACACTTTTGTTTTTATAAAGTTTGGCACAAATTTCTTTCAATAAAGCAAATGTTGAAAAATAAGGTAATAATATGAAAAACATTTTCTGTAAAAATAAATCATTTTTCATTAATGAATCTTCCATTTGACAAATAGTCATATTATAATCATAAAGATGTTGATGAATACTAGCAACTAATGCTTGATTAACCAGACCATAAACACGTGATTCAACAAAACTAATTATTGTTGAATAATGATAACAAATTTTCAATATTCTTTGTGTTGTAACGGCAAAAAAATGATCAGTACTTGGATCTAACATTAATTTATAATGACTTGAATCTTGTGATCGTAATAAACGTATAAAACGTCCTTCAATACCCTATTTGTTCAATGAAATAATTAACATCAATGAAAAATCATCAACAAACAAAAACTTACAATAAGAACAAAAAGTAAATCCCTGAGTAAAAGTTGTTCTTGTTCCTGTACAGGATATTGTCCAATAGTATTAAAACAATCATTTTCTTTTGGCCAATCACATGGATGAAAATCTCTTGATAAATATGGTGGTACTTTACGATTTTGATTTTGATTATTATTATTATGATGATGTTGTTGATGATTTGAGGATTTTTTCAAATTCAATGTTGTCGTTGTTGTTGCTGTTGATGTTTGTGATGCAAATGATATATCATTCATATCATCTTGACCATTATTTTTTTGTCCACTGTTATCAACATTGACAGTAGTGGTCAATGGTGATGCTAAAAGTGTTGGATTATTATTATTATTATGATTAAATTTTGATGGTGTTTGTAATGATCTTAATGGACTTTTTCCTGCTATCGATCTCATCGCTCCAATTGTTTTTGATTTTACCAAATTATTTGATGATTGTTCAGCTGTTGACATTTGATATTTAAGTGGATTAAAATCCGTTTGATTAACCATATTTAATAATGTTGATGTAGCTGATGTTGGTCTTGTTATACGTGGTGATGATGATGATGCATTGGACGTCGTTGTTCGACGATTTATCTGTATTGTTGTTGGAATTTGGCTATTATTAGTGTTTTTTGATGTTGAATTTGGACAAAATTTTGATTTATTCATAACGATATCATTATAATTGTTCATAAAGTTGCTCATCTAGACCAAAAAAACAACGAGAAACATTAATGATTTAGTCGTTTGAATTCTCTCTTTCTACTTACATTTTTATCTTCACGAACACGGACAAGAAATCTTACGAATGGATCAACTTCTTTCGAGCTAATGGAATATTGGATTATGGTAGTTTTTTTTGAAAATAAACAAAATAAAACTTACTTTTGGCATTTCAATGGATTATATTGTTCAACAAATTTTTGATTATCACTTAAACGATTATAAAATATTGAAAATGGTTTTGATGATTGACGATTAATACTTTTTTCAAAACGTTCTGAAATTGTTTCACGATTAAAATTTTTTGCTTCAGTAACACTGTGTGTGAAAAAATCGAATGAAAACCAAAATTCGATAATTCGAATCAACAGAAAAAAAAACTTACTTAAACAAACGAAACAATTCCGAAACAGAATTTTCAAGCTCATATTTATTATTTGAATTTGATGATAAATGTTGTTGATGATTTACCATCATAGCCATCGTTGATGACGATGATGCTGATGATAACGAGGATGTTGATGATAATGTTGAATATCTTTGTTGATGATTATTGTGGTTATTATTATTGTTGAATTTTCGATTCATATTCGATGATTGTTGCTGTTGTTGTTGATGAGGTTGGTGATGATCCATATTTGTTTCATTTGAATCAAATCAAATTCAGATGAACAATTTTTGGTTTTTTTGAAGAAAAATCGCGTGCAAAAAACAAAAACAATCAACAACGAACAATCTAAACGTGCTGTTTCATTTTTCTGTTTTGTTTCTCTCTCTTTCTCTTCCCCCACCATATTTTTTACTCGAATGTTTGACTGTCGGGGTCGATTAATTTTTGCGCATGTTCAAATCGAATGTTTTTTTTGTTCTGTGTGCATGCAAGAATTATTCGAATTTAAGCGCATTCCGGTATATTTCGTTCATCGAAGAAGAAAATTATCATCATCATTTTTTTTTTGCTGTTTGCGATGCTGAAAATAACATTTTTTTTTCACTTTTCATAAAAACAATTTCTACTTCAAACGAACAAAGTTATTGCCGTTTTATGACATTTTTCCCACAACAACAACAAAATATGAAATGTCTTGATCTGATGATGATGATGACAAACACAATTCATTCATTCATTCAATTCTGTGTTTAAAGAGAATTTTTATTTTTCTGATTTCAATTCAAATTGAAAACAAAACAAAAAAATTAATTCCTTGTTCAACCAAAATGTGTGTAGGCGATTTGTCTGTTTTGTTACGAAAAATGGCGTGGGCGATGCAATTGAAATTATTTGTGAACAGTGTGTACACGCGTCAAATTTGTCATCCCGAAAAAACATTCAACAATCAATCAATCAATCAAATTAACAATTTCAAAAAGATTTTGAAACAAAACAAAACAAAAAGATAATTAAATTATCAAATTTTCTTTTTTAAAAAACGAATTTCCCGATGAAATCAAAAAGATTCGAAATTCTCCATCATATTTTACAATTTCGAATAGCGGTGTTAAACCGGAATCACACTGAATTACTGAATCATCATCATTCGTGAATGAATTACTGTTGTTGTTGTTACTGGTTACAGCTTCGGCTGTTATGGTTAACGATTTTTTGGATCAGGTAGGAATTCAACGAAACAAAACAAAACAAAAAACTTTTGCAAATCCAAAAATAACTCATTTTTCTTTCCATTCCGCTTCCTGATTCATATCGGATTACATTTTGGCTTATGTTGTTTGTTGGCCAAATAAATTAGCATCGATCAATTACATTGTTGGTTAGCAATAGCAATGTTAATTGAACAACAACAAAATAATAATGAAAAAGAATCAATCGATTCAATGATAATAAATCGTTTGAATCAATCAAGACAAAAATGTTTTCACGATACACATCAACAAATACAAACGAATAAAAAAATATCCAAATCTATTTTACATTGTTGTCATACAATATATTATAATGATTGTCTTCAAAATGAATGTTCATTATTGTATAATGAACAACAAAATGATCGTTATAAATCAAAAGTTGCAAAACAATGTTCAGAAATATATTTAGTTACAACTGATCTATTTTGTTTATCTGTATTAAGACAACCAGTTCAATTTTGTGATATAGACATTAGGTAAGTAATGTGATGATGATGGTAATAACCTTTATTTAATGAAAAAAATTTTCTTCTTTTTTATCGCACATGAAATAGTATTACTGGACAAGCAATAATACATTATAGTGATTGTAGATTTCAAATGATTGAATTTTTACGTGAATATTATGGTCCACCTGAACAATGGCTTTATGATGAAAATGGTTTATTAGCAACAGTACAATCATTTAGAAAACAATGTTGTTTAACATATACATCATGTTATTGTTATGATAAATATTTTCAAAAAAAATGTCAACAAAATTTATTAACAAAATATCGTGGATTATCGGATAAAAAAAAAGAATATTATTGTCGTTGTCCTGGTTATAATTATATAAAAGCAGATGCTGGTGATGAAGAAAAATTTAAAAATTGGAAAAAAACTTCACTACAAAAACAAGAATTTAATAATTGTACAATAATTATTGAAAATGAATGTCAATGGATGATACCGGAAAATCGTAAATTTTTATTAGAATATCGTGATATTTTTTCATTCAATCTTTATGTTACAATTATAACAACAATATCAACATTATTATTTTGTTCATTTTGTCGACCATATGGTAAAAATATTTTAAATTTAAATATTATAAAACGTTGGTGGATGCCAGCATTACAAATGGATGAAAAACTGAAACAAGATATTCAACAACAACAAGAATTATTTGAAAGGAAAATGATTACTGCTCCTCGTCGCCTTAACTTTATGAGATTTATTCCATTTTATTCATCACCACCAACAACAAGAAAATTTTCCGGAAATGTTCATCGATCATCTTCACCAATATCATCTTCATCATCATCATCATTACCATCATCATCATTATTATTAGCTTCTTCATCACCACTGGATTCTTCCAATGTAGCAAAAACACGAAGAAATATTATTAATTCTAGCAGTAGTAGCAGCAGCAGCATTATTACTGATAATAAACGACCGAAAACAATAGCATCCAAATCACGAATTGGATCGACGGAATTAAATCGTCATCGTCGTCATGTAAAAAGCAGTAATATTCGACATAAATCATCGCCATTATTATTATCATCATCATCAGCTACATCATCATCATCATCATTGGGAATGATAAAAGTGATAAGACATAAGTCAAAACCTCGACGTCGTAAACATTCTCCAACTACCACCACCACCACCATTAGAGCCAAACATAATCAACCTTCGCCACTTCGAAAATTTAAATCAACAAATTATACAACAACAACAACAACGAGAACAAGAAGAAAACGTGAAACAAAAAGTAAATAAAAAAATCATCATTCCAAAAAAAAATTTTTTCAATTTTAATTTTAATAAATCAATAATCAATTAATAAATAATTAAATTCGGATTATTGGTGAATCAATCAAACAAACAAACAAAAAGAAAAGAAAAAACAAACAACAATAAATTAATCAAGTGTTAAATTGAAAGAAAGCATCCTTTTTTTCAAATTTGATGCGGCTCCTATATTGGTTACATCAATAAAATTTGTGACTAGAATTTCTTTTTGTTAAAAATGTATTCCTATGGTAGAATAGAAACCGGGAAATTTTCCCGACTAAAAAAATTATGTTTGTTCAACATAATTACCGGGAAATGTACCAAATTTACCGGTTAATGTTGAACGACCTAAAAACCAACCATCATCACATTTAATAGTTACTGTTAATAGATCACCATATTGTAATTCTAATTCATCTGGTTGTTGTGGTTGATACGGATATAGGACACGATAGATTTTTGGTTTTGGTAAACAAAAACGTTCAACATTAGCACCTGGTTGTGAACGACTTGCATCCGGTGCTCGACGAATTTGATGCATTATATTTGATGTTGATGAATAATTACTACTTCCGCCACTATTTCCACCCACTTCATAACCACCACCAACACCAGTTGAATTAGAAATTGTTGAACCAGATGGTTCAGATCTTGTTGAACTAAAATAAATTTGATTACTATATTGTATTGAAGAAGATCGTGAATCATTATCAATATTTTTTCTTGATGATTCTTGATGATGATGATGATGATGGTGGTGGTGATCATGTTGTTGATGATAATGTTGGCCATAAACCGAACCACTACCACCACCACCACCCGTACCACTATTGCTACAAGTTTCAGTCGGTAATTGTGGCATTGATGATATTGGTTGTATCGATGTTAATGGATGATTATGATGTTGTTGATGTTGATGCTGGTGTTGGTGTTGAGGTAATTTTGTACCAGAAAATTGATTCAACAATAACATCGATGATAATGATGATGGTGATGATGATGATGGTGTTTCTAAAATATCATCATTTTTATTACCATCATTTTTCAATGTTGTCGATGTTTTTGTTGTCGTAGTTATAGCGGATGCTGATGCTTCAACTGTTGCCGTTATAATTGCTGATGATAAATGTTGATCATGAAGAAATGATAATGAAGCATGAATAGCTGAAGCTGATTTGATTGATTGATTGAAACAAACGAAAAACAAAAAAAGCAATTTTTTGGTGCACGTGCAAAACAAACAACAAAAAAAAAAGACAAAACACGTGTGATTAGCGGTTGGTCAAAAGTTTAGCATCCGAAGCGGCAGCAGAAGTAACATTTAAAGAAAGAGAGAAAAGCAAACAAAAAAAAAGACAATCAGATTAGATTAGTAAAAAAGCAAAAAGCATTTGAGAATTTTTTTTCTGGGTGCAAAGAAATTTTACGAAAACATTTTTTTTCCGGAAAGAATTTTCATTTATTTAAATGACAAAAAAAATGAAGACTAGATTTTGGAAAAAAAAGGACAAAGAAACAAAATAGGAAAACGAAAACGAAAACAGAAAAAACATTTTGAAAACATAGAAACATAGCGAAAATGAAATGAAATGAAATTAACGTTTGTAAACTATGTATTTGTAGAGATAGGGTCAATCGAGAAGAAAAGGTAAAATGAAAAAAAAAAGAAAAATGAAAATCAGAAAATAAGAAAATCAGGGAAAAACAAACAAAATTCCGCACAACCACCATTATCATTTGATCATTTTACAACTTACCATTAGCAACTTGTTTCATAACTTCAACATAGGAAACAGGAAAAATACCAACATGTTGTCGTTCATTCATTCCTTCATACCAATTTTCATCAACTCTTCGTAATAATGTTAATTTTTCACCCTATTTGGTTAAAAAGGGTTATTCAACAACGGGTTATGTAAATTTTAATTTGAAAAATTTACCTTTTTAAATGAAATTTCAACATTTGTTTTGGCATTAAAATCAAATTTGGCACGTGCAATACCGTTTGGTGATGATGATGATGTCGCTGGTGTTGGTGTTGATGTTTCATCAATGTCCAGATAAGTACGTGGTACAAATCCCTGATTTGAAAAACAGAACAAAGTATAATGAAGGGTTAAAGTAAAAATAAAGGGTTAAAAAAATCAGATGAATATTTACCACTAATCCACTGGAACAATCTTCAACTTCCATCCATTGTTGATTTATTAATTTTCTTATTGTAACTAAATCACCTTTTTTTACAGCTAATTCATTTCTAGCCATTGCTTGAAAATCATATAAAACTTTTGCCATTTTACCTGTTGTTGGTTCTAAAATGAATCAATTATCATCAAGATTGATCGCATAGATTTGGTTACCTTTGGTAGATATCGATGTCGGTGTTGAATATAATAATCGTCGATCATAACGATCTAATGCAACAACAGGTGGTGACATTGGTTGTGGCATATAATGATGTCTTTGCAGGCTATAAGTAGTATTATCAGTCGTTGTTACCGGTTTTATTGATTGACTACCAGGTAATGGACCACCACATGGTCCAGTATAATGACGAGCATACTGGAGATAGAGTGAAAAATTGATTAAAAATCGATCAAAATCAATCAATTACATACCGATCGATTCGGTGAATTCAATGAATGAAAACTATCATCATCGATGCTGCCACTACCACCAGATATTCGATAATGAATATTTAATCTTTCGGTTGTTGGTGCGGTTGATCCGCTTGGCTGTTGCTGCGGCAATCGCATTGCATTATTGTGAACTATAAAAAATGAAATGAAAAACAGGAAAAATTTTGTTAAGAATTTTACAGAATTCAAGAATTTGGAAAAAGAGAAAAATTCTTCGGGCTCAGAATGACAAAGAATCAAATGTCAAATGTCTGTATGTGTTTGGTTGGTTCATCCTAACCTGGACTATGAATTGGGTCAATTTCGACAGCAGCAGCATTTGCTGTGGCTGGATCATCAATAAAAATATTCGGACTATGAAAATAGCTTTTCGGTACTGCTGATGATAATTTTGGTGGTGATGTAAATTGTTGTTGAATATTGTCGGGTGATATTATTTTCTTCATTATCGGATAATGATCGGTTGAGGATTCCAATTCTGAATCCGAAGTTAAATTATCATTACGTAATATTGGCGGTGTTCTACCGGCATTATTTCGACATATTTTTGGTGATTTTGATCTTGATTTTCTTGATGTTTTCGATTTATTCATCATTCGAACCGAATTGGATGGATCATCACTTTTCAATCGTGATACTTTATCAATCAAATCTGGTTGTGTATTAAGAAAATGTTCAAATGAATGTGCTTTATCATCCGGGCGATGTGAACCCGGTCTTAATAGACCACCATATGAATATTCAGCTTCTTGATCATTATCATCAAACATGGTAATATCTTCATCTTCATCATCATCATCATAAAATTCATCCGATTCTGGATCCGGTTCAATTAATTGTACTTCATCAACAGCTTCAAATGCAACTGATTTGGATTTTTTATCCAATTTTTTCGTTGATGATAATGGTCGATTATTTGATACTGACCGTAATGTATCATAAATATAATCAAAATCATTGGTTATCTGTGTTTGCCATTCATCTAAATTTTGCCAATCATCATCACCATTATCACCATCATTATCAGATTTTCTTGATAAATTAAAATCTATACCACTATCAGTATCGGTTGTCTGGTCAACTAAAGATTTGATTAAGAAGAATTTAAAATTTTTAAAATTTGTTGAATTTTTGCAGTTATTTCAAAGCATCATTTTCATGCAAAGATACATCGTTTTTTGTCAAGGCAAGCCATTTTGTTTTGAAAAATGTTTTTTAAAAAGTTCGGTTAAAATAAGCCCCACAGTGTCACAGGTTGCAGATTAATAAGTTTTCAAATTTTTTAGAAAGATTTTGTTTTTGCTTAAACTTACATTTTAAATTTCGATTACCACCATTCATAAACATTCCTGATGCTGCTGATGATGATGATGATGATAATTGTTGTTTCATTGATGATGATGGTGTTGTACGTTGTAAACCTTGAAATGGTATATCTTCACCACGTTGTACAGCACGATAAACTGATGGTGATGCTGGTTGTGGTATTATTTTTCCTTTATTTTTACGTAAAATATATGTAGAATCAGAATCATAGCCAGAACCACCACCGGATGATCCAATATTATGTGGCTGATTTAAACCTGGCGCTATTGTTGTTACTGTTGTCGGTGGTGATGATGTTAACTGATTGAAAACACAATTTTCATGAAAATAATATTTTTTCTCCATTTTTGTTGCCATTTTTGGTGATTGTTGTTGTTGTTCGGCTGTTTGGTGTTGATCAACAATATCCGCATCTTTTGTTGCCAATCCACCATTCATATGTTTGCGCTATATTTTTTCAGCCAAAAAACAAAATGAGCCAAAAAAAAGATTATTAACAACAAAATCGTTTAACAAAAACAAAATCAGTAAAAACAAAAACAAAAACAAAATCAGAGCAAAGAAAGCAAAAGCAAAATAAAAAGAATAGAGTAGGAACAAGAAGGAACAAAAAAAAAACTCAACCAAAAACAAATAATTTTTCCACTAAAATCCAAAAACAACCAAAATCCAAAAACAACTAAATTCTGTTATTTAAAAAAAAACGTAAAAAACCGACCTCACGATGATCGATATTACCACCATCATCGTCATCATTATCATCATCATCCGATACTTCATCATCACCATCATGTTCATAATCACCATTATTTTTTGATCTTCTTCTTGAACTAGAAGAAGGTCCAAAACTTCCACCACCAGTACCACCACCGCCACCATCATCATCATCATTATCATCGTCATGGTAAAGATGATCAGATTCATCTTCATCCTCTTCCTGATCATCTTCGTCATCGTCATCGTCTTCATTATCTTTTCTCGGTTTTTTCGATATTTTTTGTCGTCGACGTCGACGATGTTGTAAACTTGATGATCGTGATCGATGATATGATCCGGAACGTCGAATGGTAGCGGTGGCAGTGTTGGCATCAAGAAATGTAGCCAATAATTGTTGTTTAGTTTGTTCCAATAAACGTTGTTGTTGTTGTTCACTCATCAATGATGGTAATGAACGACTAGATAATTTTTGCGTTCCAGAATAACCTGGTTGTTGTTGTTGTTGTTTTTGATGCGGATGATGTTGCGAATGCGGATGACGAGAATCGATTGAACGTTTTCTTATCGATGACATTCGTGAAAGACTTTGTGCACGTTTACGTAATTTTGATTGTAATTTCTTTTGATTAAAAATTTTACCCAAAAGACAAATTGAGCGAAAACAAAAAAATTCAACAACAACAAATTTAGCCAAAAAATAAACATTAATAGATTGTTAGATAGAGAAATGAAAAAGAAACCGAAAAAATCAACAAACAAACAAACTAAGCCAAATTAACAAAAATATCTAAAATACAATTTCAACCAAAAAACAAAACGAAAAAAACGAAAAATTTACCTGATTAGCTGAAACGGCCGTTGTGGCCAATACTTCGGCAAATATTGAATCAATATAGTTGAAAATATCATTGTAAAACTATGAAGTTTTCATTTTCATTTTTCAAGAAAAAAAGCGAAGAATAAATTCACAAAATGAAAACAAATGGCGGATGTTTGATGAATTTTTTGTTTTTAGTTTTTTTTGGTAATTTGGCGCAATTATAGCAACACAGCGGGCAAAAAGATATTTAGAGATTTTGCGAAACAACAACAGAAAATGTTTGAAGCAAATGTTTTGGCAATAAAGATGCATCATTAAAGAAAAAAGGAAGGAGAGAGAAAATAGAAAGAAATTTTTTCGAAAATTTCGTTAGTAAATATTTGGTTTCTGGGAAAATTTCTTCGATTAGTTATAAATAAGCAAAAATTTTTCTGGGTTCAATAGGGAAATCTTTCCAACAACAACAACCAATCACTGTCGGAAACTTACCATCTGTTTTTCACGTTCAAATATACTATTACGTATACCAGGTTCATAATCTTCAATATGGCCAATGTTTGTTGATTGTTGTGATTGATGAATTGGTTTATTATCGATGGTTAGATGATAATCTGATGACGATAAAGATAACGATCGATAGGGTGATTGATATTTTGCGTAAAACAAAACAAACAAACTTACCAGTTCCTTTAAAACGTGGTTGTTTAACTTTAACACAAATTGTTTGCTGTTGATTATCGATAGTAGTGATGGGCGATGAAAACGATTTATTATTTCGTCCATCACCACTACTACTAGTTTGTAATTGCATTTCATTTTGCATATCACGTATAAATGCTTTATAACGTTCAGATTTATTCATTAATGTTGAATCACATGATGATTGTTGTTGTTGTTGTTTTGGTTGTTCAGTTTGAATCATATTCTATTTTGATCAGAGTGTTTAGGGGTTAATTCGATGAAGCACATATCAAAAACAGGGATTTGGTGGTGGGAAAAAAATCAAAACAAGATTAGGAAAAGCAATCAGATATTAATTGAATCATCAAAGCGCAGTAAAGGGTTAATTTTTCATTTTTTGACAAGTTTCAAATGCAACTGATGAAATGATGATGCACCATCACCAAAATGCAAAAAAAAAACTATGCTAAACAACAAAACTATGCGCACATTTTGGTAGAAAAAGATCCAAGAAGATTTTGTCTTCTTTTCCATTCATTTTATTTAACCCAAAAATAACTACACCATTTTTATTATTATCCTAAACATCTCATCACCACCACCACAAAATAACAATCATCACATCACATTTTCTATATAATCAATGTGTTACCATAAGAACTTGATGGGAAATCAAAAAAATAAAATAACCCGAAGAAAACATGTATATCACACATACATAGAGAGAGATCGAGTGAAAGAGAGAAAGAACTTTCTTTCTTTCTTTCATTCAAAAGAAATTTTTTTATTGTTATTATCATCACATCACCATCGTGATGTGTTATAGAAACGCAAACAAACGCACAAAAAAAAGAAAGAAATTGCGGCCTCATTGGGTGGTATTTTTTGGTTTGGAAAATAATAATAACAACAGAAAATTGAAAAAGTTTTTCGGTTTGTAACCAAAACTTTCATTGATAAATTGTTGTTTTTTCCAATAAATTTTCCCTTTTTTTACAAGTTTTATAAACACCTCTTAATTACCACTACTGCCACCATCTTTTTTTGAATGTCATCGTTGCTTCTCTCTCTCTCGGTTCATTCCCGTTATTTCACAAAATTTTTCATTGTTTTTTTCCTTGTTGTTTATAATCGATCGATCGACAAGAAAAAAAAACCATTCAAAAGTGGATTCTCTGTTCATCGATTCAATCGACGACAAGGACATTTCAATGGTTTTTCATCATTAAAAAAAATTCATAATTTCTTCCATCATCATCATCATCATAAATGGATATTATATAAAACAAACACACATCTACAATTTTGCCTTGAAAATGTCATCAGTTTTCATCAAAATCATCATCAGTTATCATCATCAAACAAACAAACAGACAAAGATAGTAGACAAACAGACAGACAATGACATCTTTAAACAAAACGAAAAAAATCATCCATCAAAAAATCAATCAACAATGAAAGTTTTGTTTGTTGATTGAAAATGACACGAAAAACAATGCAAAAAGTATCATTTTGAAAGACAAATATGAAAAGAAACGCGAAACAAACAGAAAAAAAATTCCCCATTTTTTTTTGATGATGATGATTAAATTACCGGGAAAGTTTCCCTCTTGGCAATACGGCAAAAAAGCATCATTGAATCTACTCTAAGGTAATCTAATCGTTTGATATTGAATATTTGAAAACTTACATCTTGTTGTTGCGATTTTGCTGTTGCTGCATTCATCATCAACGGCTGTTGAGCAGTGGTGGTGGTGGAAAGAATTTTTTCCGAATCACCATTTGTTATCATTGGCTGTGGTAATGGTGGTGTTGGTGGACTTAGAACCGATTCTTCACCTGTTGTTGTTGTTGTATAATAGGATTCTGTTGTATCATATTGCTGATGCTGAGAATAAATTTGTTTTGTTTGAGCAATTTTTGTTTGAGAAGATTCAGCTTGTTGCTGCAATTGTTGCTGATGCTGCAATTGTTGTTGCTGATGACGTCGTTCAATTTCAGTTGGAACCTGATGATCCATCGATATATATTCAACACCTAAATTATTACCAGTTGCAATCGATCTTGGTAATGTCCAATATTTATGTATTGGATGTTGTCTAGGTTCATATACATCAGCAACATGATGATATTGTTGCTGCTGTTGCTGTTGAATTTGCTGATGATGATTATGATCCATAATAACCATATTTCGTGGTAATGTTGATGATAATGATGGTGATGATGTTGATCTACCCGATTGTATAGGTATCGATTGTTGTTGTACAGATGTATCGATACTGCCAATATAATCGATTGGTGGTGTTATTGTTTGTTGATTATCGATTGTTGTTACCGGTGATTGTGTTGTTGATGGTGATGATTTAAATTCAGCATAAGTTTTTGATGAAAATGGTGGTGGAAATAGATTTTTTTCATCTACTTTTGTCGTCTGTTGTTGTTGTTGATCTACAACTTGTTGTTGTTGTTGTTGTTGATCTACAACTTGTTGTTGTTGTTGTTGTTGATGCGGATGATGACCGTTATATAATGCTTTAGGCAATAATAAATTATTATCATCAACTGTGGCCACCACTACTTGTTGTTTTTGATCAACTTTTTGTCGTTGTTGATGATCATGACCATGATAATCGACTATTGGTGTTGCCGATGATGTTGATGATGATGTTGGCGATGATGGTGATGATGATGTTGATGATGATAGGGATGTTGTTGCAGTAGATGATAATGTTGTTGTTGTTGATGGACTCCAAACTGGAAATTAAGTAAAAAAAAGATTAATGAGAAAATTAAATCATTGAATACGGAAGTCTAGTCTGGTGGTCAATCAAGTCAATCAGTCATTGGCTATTTCCACACCGACTGGCCAGTAGCAAAAAATTGAAGAAAAATTATCATCAGAAAAAAACCGAAAAACCTCCAACACACACTTATAATCGCACTAATACCTGTTAACATCTAAAAAAACACTATTTCCACTCAAAAACACTTGAGTAATCATTAAGATTTTAATGAAAATAATTAAGAAATATCTTAAGTTGGATGATTATTATGTTAACTTATAACTATTATTATTATTATTCATTCAGACACATTAAGCAAGGCAAAAAAAAATTTCCGAAAAATTCAAATCCCGAATGTCCGGATATTAATTTGTTAATTATGGTGGTGATTTTCATAAGGATAATTTGGCAAATTATCAAGATTAGGGATCATCAAGACGAAAAATAAGTTGAAGAAAATCATCATCATCATCATCATTCATTAATGCTCTAATTATTCGTGACATATTTTTTCTTCGGTTTTTCGGTTGTTGTTGTTGTTTTTCGATTTTTGTTGTTGTTGTTGTTGATGTTGAAAGAATCTTTTGTATGTCATACAACGTAGGCGTTGTTGTTGTTGTTGTTGACGAAAACAAAAACAACAACAAAAAACAAAATAGACCGACCGGATTTCACAAGAAAAACGAAACAAACCGACCTGGAAAAAAAATTACCGAAAAAAAAAACAAACTTTTTCTGGATGCATCCGATTTCTATTTATACATCATTAGGAAAAAAGAAAGCAACAGAAAACCGCCAACAACATTTTTCCGAGTTTGATCTAAATTCTTAATCAAACCAAAACAAAAAACTTTTTCAAAATTTCACCAAAAAAAACTTAATCTAATGATTAATGAATGAATGAATGTTTGGTTGATGTTTGGGTGAAAATAGGAGAAAAAATGTAACATATTTCAGATTGTAACATATTTTATGGATGACTCAATCCGATTATCTATAGATTTGTGAGGTGATGGATAAATCATTGGTTTTTTCTTCCAAGGATTTTTTCCAGGACGAGAAAATCCAATCAATGTTTATCGACGATAACTTTGACACTTGAGGAAAATTGATGGGAAAAACTAAACTTTTTTTGAAAAAAAATTTCGCACCTCTCTTAAGATAAACGCTGGTTAAGATCAGATTTCTAAGAAGAAAATTTTCGTAGAGAAATTTTCCAAGAAAACCAAAAATGAACTTTGAACTTTTATTGACCTCGTTCACATTAAACCACCATCACTACAAACGAACATAAACACTATAGGGGATCCTCTTTGGAAAATGGATCTTGGCCACATTGGTGGTGATGTTTATGATGAAAAATTTAAATTTTTTCAACAAAAAAAAAAACTTACCAAGAAAAAAATTTTCCGAGAAAATTTCCCGCAGAAAATAATAACACAAAATGGACAACAATCAAATAACGAAAAACAATGGGAAAAAAACGAAAATTTTTTCAACAAATTTTTTACCAAAAAAACCAAAACAAAATGATCAAATGAAATGAATGTAACCGACGGCAACGACAACAACGATGGCGAAAGTTTCTATCTTTTTTTATTATTTTGCTAGCCGATTCTATGGCGGCAACAACAACAATTTCAACGAAGAAAAAAATAAATAAAGAGGGGCAACGTCGTCTCTGAAAATAGAATCAAAGAATCATCATCAACAAATGGCATCCATTAAAAATACGCTGAATTTTAGAAAAAAAAGCAAAAAGATTTCAATTTCGGTTGCCAATTTCTTATTTATGTTCGCGAGTGTGGGAGTTGGGAAAGAGACGACATCTTTCCAGGCAACTTTCTTAATTTCGTTTAGTTAAGAAAAAGAAGAAAAAAGATTGTCAAACAGGAATGAAATTTACGATTAGACGATGCTGATGATCGTCGTCAGAAATGAATCGTAAATTCCGAATTTAGAATCTTTTTTTTACAAGAAAAAAAGAAATTACTGAAGAAATTTCCCGTAAAGACCAGAAATTTTCCGGAAAAACTTACAATTTTTAGCCGAAATAAAACGAAAATGTTGATTTGGATCTATATTCAAACAACAATTAAATTGATGCAATAATTTTAGGTCATCGCCATCATTGGCATCAACAAGTTTCATCGATGATAATGATCGAGGTAAACTTCTTGATGGTGGTGGTGGTAAATTCTGCTGATGATAATGATGATAATTGACATTATTTATTTGTTGTATCAAATTTTTTGGTTGATTTAAATAAAATTTACGTTCAACAAATTGACAAATTTGATCAATTAAATGAAATTGCTTATTACGATGTTTGTGATGAATGTTTGTTTCATTTTCATTTTCATTCATCGATTGTCCATCTTCATTATCTTCATTATTATTGTTCGTTGAAGAATTTTCTAAACAACGTTTGTTTAGGCTACGAATTTCAACTAGTTCAATGTACATTTTTGTTGTTACCAGAAAAAAGAATCAGATTGATGGTAAAAAACAAAACAAAACAAAGCAAAAATCCAACAACCAAAATCAAAAATCAAAATCAAAATATTCACAAATAGGAAAAAGACTTTGAACAGAAAAACTTTCACCAACTAGCAACCAAAAACACTGTCTAAATAGACGAAAACAAAAACACACAGGTGTGTGTGTGTGTATCTTGATCGATGGAATTCAAACAACAGGTCATTCGATTTATCGAAAATGATCATCATCATTTAGTGATCTGCCAAAACCATTTAGAGAGAGAGAGAAGGAAGCGAAAAAAGCTAATATCACTTTAGCTGTCTCTCTCTCTCTTCTTTTCAAAAATATTTTTCACATCTCTCGGGAAGAAAAAATCTTCCGAAAATGTGTGTGGTATGTTTGTCGGAAAAAGTTCAAAGTTAAAAAAACAGACGGCTATTTTAACTTGATGGGAAATTCCTCGAAAAAAAAATATTTATACTTACTATTCTTTGGTTTCGATGTTGATGTTGTTGTTGATATCGATGTTGCTGTTGTTGTTGTTGTTGACATTGTTGATGATTTTGTTATCATTTTTGTTGATGTTTCAGTTGTTTTAGCCATCTGTTGTTCGATTGATTTTTGATCTGCTGCTGGTTGTCGAATCAAAACTGTTTCAATATCATCATCATCATCTGTATAGACATTATCATTACCATCGATATTTGGATCATCCAGATCATCATCTGGATCTAATGATGATCGAGATCTTGTTGTTGTTGTTATTGTCGAAATAGAACGTATTTTACGTCGTTGTATTGCTGTTAATGGTGATGATGATAATGATGATGTTGTTGTTGTTGTTGGTGATCCAGATAATGATGATGTGATTCTACCACCACCACCACCACCACTACCATTACCATCAGGTGATAAATCTAATTTACCAATATCATCCGATTGTTCTTCATCCTGTTCTTGTCGATGATAACGATGGCCATGATGACGATAATAACTGCCATCTATTGATCGTGAACGATTATAATGATGATATCTTCGTTGTTGATTTTTTGTTGATAATCGTCTTCTATGGTCACCTTTATGATGACCATCATCATAATCAAAATCACCATCCGAATTAAAATCATTATTATTATCGATTATATTATTATCAACGAATGTTGTTGGTCTTTGATGTAAAAATAGTGGTAATGGATGATCCATCATCGCTGTTGTTGCTGTTGTTGTTGTTGTCGGTACACCACAATCACAATAATGATGACAATAACTTAGATCACTATTCATACAAGTAGGACATGATGATGATGATGTTGTTGTTTGATCATTCATAGATGTTGTTACGGTTGTTGATGATGATGTTGTCATCATTGAACCGGGTGAACATTCGGTTTTAATTTCAGCTTCTTTTTGCATTTCTTTCAATGAATGATGTGATACAAAACAATCGGTTGTTGTTGTCGAAGTCGATGATGAATCATTTATCGGTGTTGTTGTTGTTGAATATGATGATGAATTATCATCACCACGTATTGCACGTATTGAATCATCTGTATCTTGAATTCCACCTGGATGATGGTAAGGTGGTGGATGTTGATGATGATAAAATTGTGGATGATACATTGAAGGGACAAAAGATGTTGGATCATAAAATAACTGTTGCTGCGGTAGATGCTGATGCTGTGGAAATAGTGGAACAAAACCACCAGGATAAGGATAATGTTGATGATGAGGATGAGGATGATTACTCATTGAAAGTATTTTTCGATGTACATTTCGTGATTCAGGTCCAAAATCTTCATTTGGTGATAATAATTCTTCTTCACTTTGATGTAATGGACCTAAATTCAAAGAAGAAAAAAGAGAGAAGAAAAAATTCGTGAGAAAGTTTTCAAGAAAAAATTGTTTTTTTCAAAAAGAAAATTTCCAGAAATTTATAGTTTATGGTTCCGGTCATTCATTTCAATCATTCTATTTATGAACAGACCTTCGGAATTTAAATCTTTTAACTCATCTAATCCAGAATCTATTTCATCCGACTGATTATTTTCCGAAACTTTTTTCATTGTTGGTGGAGATTGATCATCTGAAGAATTCTGCTGTTTGGTATCATCATCAGAATCTTGATGAATGATGGTGGGTCCATGATCTTCACGATCATCATCACCATTCATCAATGTTGATGCCGATGTCGTTGATGTTGGAGTTTTCGTTGTTTCAATCGAAATATTTGATTCATCTTCTTCCGGTATCGGATATAAATGCCACCAATATTGTACAGGAAAATCATAAACAATTTGATGATGATAATCATCTTGATTATCATCAAATTCACCATCAGGACCATCAACACCATTATCATCAGATAATGGCTTATTATCATCAATTTGATTCATAAAATAATGTATCATTGAATTATTATTTGATTGTTTTGATTGAATTCTTGGCGGTATTGGTGGTGGCGGTGATGAATCATCAATGTCCAGATCATCCATTGAGTTATTCGATTCTTCTTGTTCCGGAATAACGTCATTTATGAACGGTCGATGTATAACAATATAATCATGTTCATCATCATCACTTTCATTATAATTACGTATCGATTGATGGGTAGATTGAATCGATAATAATGATAATGATGATGATGATGTCGATGTTGATGATAATGGTGATGATGGCGATGTTGATGATGATGATTGAAAAATTTCTGGTAATGGTTGTTCCGCTGAAATATCAACAAACGATTCTATTTCATCATCAATATCATCAATTTGGTCGAAATAGTCGATTTTTGAATCGTTCGAATTCGAATGTTTTGGTTGCTGATTCGAATTCGAATGTTTTGCTAGTTGATTCGATTGTTTTATTGATTTTATTTTAATAATTTTTCTTCGATCAAAATTATTATCAACAAACATCGGTGATGGTGATGAAGATGATGATGATGATAAAAGATTTGAACCAATCAATGTTGGTATCATTGTTTTTGATATAAATGTTGTTGTCGACGATGTCGTTGATGATGACATTTTTGTGTTTTAAATATCAAACGATGATGATGACCAAAAAGAACAGAACACAAGAAAACATCAAATATTTGGGCGTCAATGTTGTCAATTTAATCATGAAACATTATTTTTGAATGAAAAATCAATCAATCAATCAATCAATCAAACGATGAAATCAATAATGTACATCATCGGTACAACGTAACAAAAAATACCGAGGTAAAAATTGAATCACATGAAAAAACCGACTAAATTTCACCGAATATCAGCATAAGCAGACTAAACCGATAACCGGTTATTAATATTGTTTATGTTTCGGGAAACAAAAAAAAAATCTTTTTCCCGATTTTTGATCCCGGGTTAATTCACACCATCAAACAAACCACACATCAAGCAAACTGGCAAAAAAACCACACCAAAGCAGACAAATCTAACAACATGAATGATGATGAATAACAACAACAAATATTGCTATATAGAAACCGAAATAAACATCATAATCATCATCATCATAAACATCATCATCATCAACAAATCATCAATAGTAACAAAATATCAAAACATTCGCATCATCATCAATATTTTCATCAACAACCAAAAAAATTGGTTCGTTATGTCAAAACAAGATTCAAAAAAACACAAACATTGTTTTGAAAAATGATGTAACTTTGTTTTGCTTTGTTTTTGGCTGTTTTCAAAATTTTTTCAAATTAAATTCAATTAACCATCGAATCATCATTGAAAAAAACCAGAACAGAAAACATTCGAATCGATCCTCCCCTTTTCACATCCTCCCCCTCATCTATTTTCTTCAGTGAAAAAAATGAATTTCTCACGCCCTTTTTTTTCCTGTCTGCCTGGATAGAGATGATCGATGATGATGATAATGCTGGTGGTGGTGATGATGATATCGGTGACATGAAGCATGTGCGAAAATTTTTTTTTGCTGAATATGATGATGACATCGTTCAACAAGAAAAAAAAATGACCGAATGTCATCATCATCATCATCATGACAAAACGAAATGAAAAAAAAAACAGGAAGAGATGACACAAGAAGATGAAACATCTGGCTACAATTTATATTCAATGATGATGATGATGATGATGACTGAAAGACAAAAACAAAACAAAAGTATTAAGGGTGTGCGTGGTGTTTGATTTTCTAAATTTAGAAAAAAATTTATGGCAAATAACCTCTTGACTGTAATGAATGAATCTTCATGCTTTCAATTTTTGGCCATCAAGCCAAAATCCTATGAATGGAAACACGAATTTTCTCTTTGATTATTCATCATCATCATCGTATAAAAATTTTGGAAAAAGTTTATACAATGAAAGTTTTACAACCATGTACTGATAAAAAGAATCGGTGTCATTTTTGTTTGTTTGATTGATTGATTGATTGATTAATCAATTTATGTCGACAAAAAAAACAGTTATCTACGAAACGAAGAAAAATCAGGCCAAAATCCTAATCATCACCAATGAAATTCAAAATCAATTTGATTAAAAAACAACAAATTTTCATGTCAACAAATGCAAATTTTTTATCAATTTCATCATCATCATCATTGCTGATTTGTTGCCAAAAAAACAAAGATTTCACTTTTAAATCCATGTCTGTAGAATGAAGTAATCATTTCAAATGAAATTTGAATCAATAGTTTTTCATTGTGTTTTGTTCTATCACCAAAAAAAGAAAGAAAAGATAAACAACAAAATCTTCAATTTGAAGTGTGAAGAAATAGATTTTGAAATGACGAATGAAAATTTACAACAAAACTCACTTTTGTAATTAAAAATTGAGGAAATTAAATTAGTTAATTTAATTAGATTAAACAATGATGATGAAGATTAACCTAGGGTTATTGTTCTAGTTTTGCCCGGTGATGAATAGAAAAAAAAGGTTAATGTAAAAAACACCGAGACAGACAGAGAAAAAAAACAGTGAAATGAAGATAACTGTGAAAAAACGACGACGACGATGATAAAAATCTTGCACAAATTTTCAATCAACAACTTTTTGGCTAACAACAACAACGAGATAAACATTATCACGATCAAATGGTTAATGGTCATGATCGAAAAACCAAAAAAGTTATCTTGGAAAAAATATACGAGCAAAACTCTATAGTGGTGATATGAAAGTAATAAAAAATGACACGTGCAAGGAGAAATGTATATACCACGTACCGTTAAACCAGAAAGAAATTCAAACCAGAACCAGATGGTCGTTTTGGAAAAGACATTTGATGAGATAATTTATTGGATTTTCTCTCTCTCTCTCTCTCTCCACCCACCCATCAACCTACCACCATCAGCGTGACCTCAATCAATGATGATCAACAAATAAAAAAATGGTAAAAACGATAGACGAGATTCTGTCAAATTTGATCGACCAGATGCTCTTTTGCATGACTATGTAGACACGTGCCTTAGAATAACAAACGAAAATATATTATGTAAACAAACTGTCAGTGAATGTTTGTGTGAACGATTTTTGTTTTTGGCTTGTAAGCTAAATTTAAGCGAAAAATATTTTTTCAAGCGAATTTTTGTCTGACTTTATAGTTCAGTTAGGTTAGGTTAAACAAACTTTTGAAAATAAAAAAAAATAAACATTACCTTCACTATCATCAGCAATCATCATTGACATTGTTGTTGGTGTTATTGATGATGGTTGTTTTTGTTGTTGATCCATTATCGTTTTTGATGATGTTTTCTTCGATGATGATGATGATATTGGTAAAAATATTGATGGTGCCAATTCCCAATCACTATGCCATCTACGAACAGTTAATTGTAATTGTCTATTTAATGTATGTTTAATTAATTGATAAGTAAAATCTAATTTTGTTAATTCATTATCATTTATAATTCCATTAAATTGCTGATAATCATTATTATTATTATTATTATTAACAGGTTTTGCTGAATCATCTTGCTGCGATTGGTCACCGGGGTTATTATTATTAACGGCACCGTTATTATTATCATCAGTAGCCGATGGATTATTTGTCGGTGTACGTTGTCCAATGGATGATGAACATATTGAACCAGTTTGTTCCATATTTGATGCGGTAGTAGTTGCTGCCGCTGTCGCAGCTGTTGATGAACCTGGCTGTCGTATCAGTGTTAATGGATGATTATCTAATTCGAAATTGTTTACTTTGCGTTCAGAAGAAAAAACCAACAAACAAAAAATTAGAAAATTTTCAAAAAATTAACCCAAAAACATACCAGCCATAATTTCATCATGAACACGTAATCCACCTTTATGTCCACGTCCACCACAGTTGACCTAGTAAATCACAGTTTGATTAATCAGATTTTTGGTTGGTTAACGAAAGAGAAAAAAACCAAAAATATGTCAAGAATGTCAACAAAAAATACAGGTAAAAAAATATATTGTTGTGAAATTGTAAACAAAGGTAATCAAGGTAAATATTGACATAACAACCAATCAATTGATGATCATCACTAAGATTATGATCATTGATTGGTTATCATGGTGATAATAATCACCATTTTTTTTCAACAACACTATCGATTGTTTACTATCGATATTCAAATCGATATAATCGATTATTCATTCATTCATTCATACCTTACTAATAAATACATTTCCATTACGTTGTTTAATACGAAAACCCCATGGTGGACCACCTTTTAATAGAAAATTTAAAACTTCAACATGTTTTGAACAAGAACGATTTAATAATAAACCGGATAAACGATTTTTTCCCGATACAATCGATTGTGTTGATGATATAATCGATTGTTGCTGTTGTTGTTGTTGATTATATTTTTTCATGGCAGTATTTATTCCATTTGGCAGTGATTTTTGTTGTTGTTGTTGTTGAAGCATACACATCATCGATGGTATAACCTGATGATTATGTTGTTGATGTGGTATTCTATAAGGGCCATAATATTGTGGATGATTATGTTGATGCTGTTGTTGATAATGCGCATGGTGATGATGATGATTCATCATCATCGGTGTCGAAGAACCATCATAACCACCATCAAATTGTGATGATTTTTTCAATGATGATTTTTGTGGTAAAATTGATGATTGTTGTTGTTGTTGTTGCTGCTGCATTGTTGTTGTTGTTGTTGTTGGATGATTATGAAAAAATTGTTGTTGTTGTTGTTGTTGTGGACATTGTGTAGCATATGGACATCCAATTAGATTATAATAATCATTATTATTATTAGTATCACCATATAATGAATGTTGTTGCTGTTGATGATGATGATGATGGTGGTGATGATGATGATGGTTTGGATTCGAATGAATCATTGATAAATGTTGTTGATGATGATCATACATTTGTTGTTGTTGCTGTTGTTGTTGAATCATTGTATCATCATCATCATCATTACCATTTTGATAATCATCATTATTATTTTGACCAATAGTACCATTATTGGCCACTAATACACCGGTTATTAGATCCATTTCAAAAACCCCCCCGAAAAAATAATTAATGGTTAATGAGGATTAACGATGATTATTATCGTCTTAATTTTGGCATTTTTCTTTTGTTTTTATTAATTCAATCGAAAGAATATTGAAATTTTATCACGAAAAATCACAAAAATCAAAAATCAAAATAGAGAAAAATATTTGAGCAGAATTTGACAAATGAAAGACAAACAAAAAACAACAACAACGAAAAAAAAATTGGATGTTTTCATTTAGATGATGTTAGTTTTTTTTCTTCTCTCGGGGATGTTGGGAACATTGGGAACCAAAAAAAAAATTCTTGGTTCTTGCTACTCCCACTATAGAATTTTTTTGTTGTTGTTGTTGTTCATTGGAATTATCTTGGAACAGTAGACATGTGTGTGTGTGTGTGTGTGTGTGGGAGAGAGAGTTTGCTCCGAAACTTTCACTTTTTGTTCCATTTTTTTTTTTTTTTTGCTCCAAAAAAAAGGGATCAACTTTGAATACAGAATTTATATATAGAAAGGCATCATTGGAAAAAAACCAAATGCCATTGGACAACACAAAGGACATGTTCTCCAAAAAAAACCAAAATCAAAATCAACCTCGAAAACGAAAAAAAAATCGGACAGAATAAGAATCGAATGAACATTCGAAATTATTATCCCGAATAATAGATGGCGCTCAGAATTTCATTTTTTTTTTTTTTTTTTTTTTTTGTTTTTAAAATTGGGCGGGAAAAATCCCATTAAAACACTTTTTCTTCTT